GGTAATGTGCTCTCTTTTGCCTGTACTGGTTAAAAATCGGGCTGCTGCATTCTGGACCAGTTGTAGTTGTGCTATAGAAGACTGACTGATACCAAACAGGAGTGAATTGCAATAATCAAGCCTAGATGTAATGAATGCATGTATTACTGTCTCCAGGTTATTTTTGGACAATATGGATTTCAGTTTAGACAGTCGCCTCATTTGGAAGAAACAGGATTTAACAATCATGTTTACATGATTATTAAGTTTCAGGGAAGGGTCCATTATCACGCCTAGATTAGTGACTCTGTTTTTCTGACAGGGTTAGAGTGGAGAGGTCGATGCAGTGGTTTGTGATCGTGTTGTTGGGAGGGAACAACATGACTTCAGACTTCTTTTCATTGAAACGTAAGAAGTTTAAAGCCATCCAGTCCCTGATGTCAGCCAGGCAGTCGAGCAGCGGTTGAATAGAGCATGTACCATTGTGTCTTAGGGGAAAGTAAATTTGACAGTCATCGGCATAGAAGTGGAAGGGCATGTTGTGTTTTCAGAAAATGGCACCAAGCAGCAGCAGGTATAAAGCGTAAAGGAGGGGACCCAAGATGGACCCCTGCGGAACCCCCCATTTAAGCTCTGCCTCTGCGGAACTAAAATCCTTGATGGATACACAAAAGGATCTGTCAGCGATGTAAGATCTGAACCAATAGAGGGCTGATCCTGTGACGCCCTCCCACTGCTCCAACCTAGTAATGAGGATCTCATGGTTGATGGTGTCAAAGGCGGCTGTGAGGTCCAACAGGACAAGCAGCACAGAATCACCGGTATCTGTAAATCTGAAGATGCTGTTAAAGACTTTCAGCAGGGCAGTTTCAGTGCTGTGGAGAGGTTTAAAGCCAGATTGGAAAAGCTCTAAGATGGTGTGACCTTCCAGGAAGCACTTCAACTGGGACTCGACTATTTTCTCCAGTACTTTAGAAACAAATGGGAGTTTGGAGACAGGCCGGAAGTTGGACACGACAGAGGGGTCAAGGTTTGGTTTTTTCAGGAGAGGCTGGACAGCAGCATGTTTAAAGGATTTTGGCACCACGCCTGTGGATAAACTACTATTTACTATATCAAGAATGGACGAACCTAGAGTGGGAAAAACCTCCTTTAGTAGTCAAGGGGGGACCACATCAAAGGGGGAACCAGAAGGTTTCAAGCTGCACATGACCTGCTCTAGAGAAGATAGTGGTGGGTTCAAAATGGTCAAATAGAGCTACAGACTGAGGTGGGATGGATGGGTCATGAGTTGGAGGGGAAATGAGAGCCCTGGTGATCTCAATTTTTACAAAAAAAAAAAAAGTAAGAAGTTGTCGCACAGCTCAGTCGAGGCTTCCAGAGGTGATGGTTCAGTGAGGTGGAGAACAGAGTTTAGGGTGGAGAAGAGGACACGTGGGTTGTGAGAGTTTGAGGTAATTATATCAGAGATGTATTTGGATTTAGCAGCTTTTACTGCTTTCTGATAACCGCACCAACTCTCTTTAAGTATTTGAAAAGAGACCTGCAGCCTGTCTTTCCTCCACTTTCGCTCCACCCTCCTACATTGCTGCCTAACGGCCTTGATGACGTCACTCAGCCAAGGTTCTGCTCTGAGTTTTGATTTTTTGGTTTTAACAGGAGTGACATGGTCCAGAGTCTTTAAGCAGACAGAGTTGAACTGGGATGTCAGCTCCTCAGTGGTGGTGAGAAACACCGGGGACTGAGTTATCATTTCAGAGTTATAAACATCTGTGAAGCGTGCGGCAGTGAAATGGTTAATTGTCCGACTGCGACGTGCAGGAATGCACGACATAGGAGTTAGATGGGGGAGGGTGAACTCAAACTGGATTGGCATGTGGTCTGAAAAAACATTATCACCAATAACAAGATTACTAACAGTCACATCACGTGTTAAAACAAGGTCAAGTGTATCCTGATGCATGCTCAATACTCCAGGTAGAAAAATCCACAAAAGTTCAATCTGGTTCTCTGGAAATTCAAAAAAATGTCATCTTGAATGAAAAAAATTTTTTTTGAATGTCCAGAGGACCAGATTGAACTTTTTTGGAAGGTCCAGTGTATGTCCACGCTCTTGGGTGGGACCGTTTACATGCTGAGTTAGATTAAATGAGTCCAATAAATCTAAGAAGTCCTTAACCGATGGCTTCTCCTGACAGCACACTTGCAAATTAAGGTCCCCAATAATGAAAACATGATTATATTTTGGTATGATTTCAGCCAAGAAGTCAGAAAACTCATTTATGAAATCCTTAGAGCGAGGTGGGCGGTAGACGAGTGCAAATAACGTCGGAGGCCAATGGCCGAGGTCAAAGATGTTCAGCTCAAAGGGCAGTTGTTTACAGTCAAAAGTTGATTTAAATATTGTTAATAATCCACCACCGCACCGGCCTGATGGCCGCGGTGTGTTAGAATACAGACTGTTCTGTGGCAATAATTCTGTCAAGGCGCTGGTCTCACCCAGAGACATCCAAGTCTCTGTGATGCAGAAAAAGTCCAAATCATGAAAGTAATCCCTGCGGATAAAAGTTTTGTTGATAATAGATCTTGCGTTGGCCAAACAAATCCGGATACTGTCCAAAGTGGACCCAGCAGCGGTGGAGTTAGCGCGCCAGTGGCCTCAGGTTTTCAATAACAGCCCCTCCGGCCGACAACTCCCATTGTTTACCTGGTCTGGGCACGCGGGAAGCTGGCGATGGAAACCATGACTACTAGCTGAAGAGGAAGATGCAGCGCGCAGAGCTTTAAGCTTCACCAGCTGACCAGCACGTTTTCTCCAGTGTCTGAAGCGATGTCTCCGGACAGGCAAGTGAGGAGCCCAGCGGAGGTAAGCTGGCACGTCCGCCAGCAGGGGGGGAGGAGGGGGGGTCCAGAGGTACACTGATAATGGTCCAAATAAGCGACATTGGTGACAGAAAAACGAATATCCAGAAGCTGTTGTCGGTCATACATCAGGAGTGAATTTATGCCACAGATAAACAACGAACAAAACAAAAATAATCCGAACACCATCAGCAGAGGTGGATTGCAAGCCATGTACACGGGCGCCATCTTACCGGAAGTTATAAGTTATTATAGGACCTAATAGCCAAATATTGAGTCAAACACAAGCTTAAGTAGTATGCTGTTTGAGGGAGGCCGTTCCAATGTTTTCTTTCTGTTCTTGCCATCCGTAACTAGAATGACATTCCTCTTGACATATACCTTAGCTTTTATTCCATCCCTCCATGTGCAATACATTTTTCCTTTATATATACACATTGCCTGTTTTGTGTTCAAAGATTTGTTTGTGATGGCTGATTAATGCTTGATTGCTTGTGGTGTAGTAGACTGACTTTTGGGAGAAGGGCTAGACCATATATACAGTATGTATATATATATATATATATATATATTTTATATATTTTTTTCAGACTACTCCTTTTCATTCAGAACTTTTGTCTCTGTTAACATGTGGCATATTCATTTTAAACTATAAATAAATTCAAAAAATATGAAGCCGTGCAGGAAAAACATGTCCACACCAGACAACTGGTTGGTTCCGCAGGTGTCGCCTCACCTTTGTAAACGCTGCTCATGCCTTTGCCATGCTCGAGGGCTAATCAGCTGAGATGAATATGGATGATTCTTTGAAGTGGATCGTGCCACCACTGCGTGCTCGTTGTAATATCTCCAAACAATCATGAGAAAAATGCTGCTTGGCCACGATGAGTCTTGATTTATCATCCAAGCCTCTCATGTCTGGCTTTAGGTACACGTGGTCGGTCAGCGGTGACTTGCCCAGCCGTTAGCATCTTAGCTATCACTGTGGTGTGCATGAGCCCGGTGATTCAGAAACTCCAATGATCCTAATATTGTTCTGTTTCAAATTCCCTTCCACAGATTTGAGCCTTTTTCTCAGCCCATCTACCACTATAGTCCCACACTGAGCCCCCATCTCATCTGAGCATAAAAACAGTCCATTTTCAGCCTCTGTTACACTTAGCTTCACTTGGCCAAACTCTGCTCTGAAGGCTGTGGTGTTACCAGCAACCTACCCTCTGACTGCCTGCAGTTTGCTCTTAATGAAATTAAAATAATCTGTCAGAGATGCCTTCATCTCCATCCTAATTATCGCCGTGACGTCAGATTTAATTGAAACCAGAATGTCTGACTTCAGAGCCGACTCGACTGTTTCTCTAGAGTCTTGCGATGGCAGGGCAGACACACCTGCTCCTGCAGCACCGTAGTCCAAGGCTGCAGCTGTGTCAACAGACAGCGTGGACAAAGACCCTGCCATTTTAGATTTTTTATTTTTTAATTCAGAGGCCATGTTACACATCCGTCAAATTAATCCTGTGACAATGCCGATCTCAGAGGAAGAATCCAACGCGGAGGCAGCAAGAATAAAATTATAAAAGGCAGCTTTTCAAGCAGGGCTGACGGGAGCCTGGCAGAATGCAGCTTATTAAATCGCAGCCATCTTGCGCCTCAACCAAACTTATTTGACAGATCAATGTACTTTGGGCTGCAGATATTCAAAAGAGCATGCCACAGCAGACAAAAATAAAAGGGAAATGGATTTTATTTTAGCAATGTAAATACATATTTTTTAATGCCTGTGCTGTAAGTAGACACCCATTGTTAAATATTGCGATGACTACATCAACTCCAATATTCATACATTTTTCTCACTTTAACTCTCTCTCTCTTGTCATATGCCCATGACACTCTCTGTGCTTTAACATTTTAACCTAAAATAGATGGGGACATTTATAGCAGTGCAGGTCCATCTGAAGGCCAAATGATTGTTTGTTTGCATGCAGTTTGTGTAATCTTGGTGTTGCTATTGCGATGACAATACAATTTTGATATATTGCCTTAGCTTAGAGTGTTCAGTTTACTTAGCTGATCATGTATGGACAAATCACATTTCCTAATGTCACTTGAAGGTCCCTATTGTGCTAACAGGGCACCTATTTGTTAACTCTGTTTCATCTCAGTTGGAAAGGGCTGAAGTGAGGCTTGACGGCATTGACACCATGTTGAAGTTGGCCTCTAAAGGCTTCCTGCTACCATCTGTGCAGTATGCAATGCTCTGTGGCTGGCAAAGGGTCATACCTGAAGGGACCAACATTGGGTAGGTCACTAGGATCGTGGAATGTGCTATGAATTGAAATAAAAGTATATTGTATTAGATTAATGCTGTAGGCATCATGTTTAATGTTACAGTACTGTTACTGGTTACTTAGGCTAACAAAAAGTCTGAATAATAGTATAATCATAGCTGTATTTTAGATGGAGTTCATTGTTGAAGTATTAAACCTTGTAATGTAATTTCTCTTTTCAGAGAGCCCTTGTCTGACTGCCTTAAGGATGTAGATCTGATCCCTCCCTTCAATCGACTTCTTTTGGAAGTGACATTTGGGAAGTTGTATTCTTGGTCTATCCAGAATGTTCGCAAAATCCTTCTAGAATCAAGCGCCCGGTTCAAAGAACTAGGTGAGTGGTAGGAAATTATCCCCGTTTTTCTTGCCCTGTTCATCTTAAATACTGTATATAGTTTTAGAAATTATTAATATGCATTGCCTGTTTTTACACCAGGTGTGCAGCCTGTCCCCTTACAGACCATAACCAATGAGAACCCAGCAGGACCAAGTCTTGGCACCATTCCACAAGCCCGCTTCCTTCTGTCCATGATACATATGCTGTCACTGAAACACGGGTCTAATAGCCTTAGTCTCCTGCTTAATTCTGGCCTTTTGGCCCTCACACAGAGTTTACTCAAGCTCATAGGTGAGTGTTGTCCTGTTTCATACATACAGGCTTGGAATCTTTCTCTATGGATTTATGGATGACTCTTTTGTTCTGTACCTGTTTTTAGGACCCAGCACGGACAGCAGTGAGGAGGACCTCAGTTCATGTGTACATGGAGGCTCAGCCACAGTGCTGGAAGAATCCCGAAAGGAGGCGGCTCCCACTCTTTTACCTGCTTCTGGTCCAGAGCTGGCTTCCATGATGAAGATTGGCACCAGAGTCATGAGGGGAGTTGACTGGAAATGGGGAGATCAGGTAATGGAATCCATTTTATTCTAGCAGTTTTTGAATGTGTTGTTCTGAAGCATGTAGAGCAGAGATCACTAATAGTCGGACCTTGGTCCGAATGCGGACCAAAATTATGTCTCATGCGGACCCGAACCTAATATCAAAACAGAAATGACGGTTTAAAATCTTGTTGGACACTTTCTGTTTTACCGGTGTAGGGGAATACATGTACAGGGTAATGGACTTCTGGTCCGGTCAAACCCGTACCCTTTAACAGGCATTACTCTGGACTGGCCTCACCTCAAACATATATAAACCATGAGTTCTTGTAGCGAACTTAATTCCTATCCCTTGAAGAAAACTCGAAGAATCCGTAATTTAAATACAATTCTGTAATGTTTATTTTCAGTTTGAATTATGACATGAAAATTATGGCAAATATTGAATATGAATATGAACCAATAATATTATTTTAGAAAGTAAATGGCATAAATCTGAGGACTTTAAGAAGGAGATTTGATTCAATTTGGACTAAGGTCTAGCTCTTAACGTTAAAATTTAGATAAGTTTATCTCAGATTCATGAATTAAATTATCTATACAAACTCAGTTGGCACTGTTTCGTGGTCCTCTCATCAGAAGGAAGATGTTCATCTCTCATTATCACAGCGGATACATGAAGGAAAATGGTGGCCCGCTGTCCCAAGAAAGATGTCGTTTCTCAGAGCTGCGGTTTGTTGGGCTTGTACCTTTAGCTCCAGGGTGTTTGAGATTTTTCAGGATGTCCACCATCTCTCAGCTGGTCATGTCTTCCATCATATGGCTGTTGTTTCTCAGAGAGTCTCATCAACTCTCCACAACCATTCATTCCATCTGCTCAGCTCAGCTGATGATCCAAAGTCAACTTTCCTCATCGGCTGCCATCTTGCAACTCCCTCTATGTTCAGTAAACCTGGCCCCAGGAAGACGGGCCCCTTAACTTTTAACCAATCAGAGGGTTTCTTACAGTAGGAGTATCCCACTGTATAATTAATGTAATTAAAATCTCCCTTCTCAAAGTTCTTCAGAAAAGATAATACAATGACCCTTTGTTAAGGATGTGTGACACCATGCTGATACAAACAAAATGGGTTTCTTTGAATCAGAACTTCAACTAGGGAGTTAACTTCCTTTACTGTCAGGGCGACTAGTCTCTGTTGATAAGGCCAAGTGAAGCTCTTTGATCAAGACCCTTCTTCAGGAGTCTCAAAGTCTGGTGACTCAACACAGAAGGTGAATTACACGAAGGGTGTCCAGAATCATGCAACATGTCAGGGTGGTCCCAACGTAGATTTTAACACACACACAAAAGGTTAACAAAGAAACTTCCTGTGACAGAGCAGGATACCATACCATACCATACCAATTTATTTATATAGCACTTAAAACAGCAACAAGGCCAACCAAAGTGCTGTACGAAAGAACCAAACATGCACAGCAGACAGGAAAACATAAAATAGAAATACAGATACAAATAGCAGCAGAAGCTAACTAAAATGGCCAACAGAGTAGAGAACAGACCGGACCAAAACAAATCACACCGTGTTAAAGGCAAGCGAATAGAAGTGGGTCTTCAAGCGAGACTTAAAGACTGAGAGTGTGGGAGCCTGCCGGACACTCAGTGGCAACTCATTCCACAGTCGTGGACCTGCAACAGAGAAAGCCCTGTCACCTCTGAGCTTACGACGGGTTTCTGGGACTGAGAGAAGCATCTGGTCTGCTGACCTCAGAGAGCGCGGTGGGACATATGGCTGCAGAAGATCAGTGAGATAGGATGGGGCGGAACTGTTCAGTGATTTAAAAACGTACATTAGAATTTTGAAAAGGATCCGAAGGTGAATGGGTAGCCAGTGCAGGGAGGCCAAAACTGGCGTGATGTGCTCTCTATAGCCTGTACCAGTTAAAAATCGGGCTGCAGCATTTTGGACCAGTTGTAGACGAGCAATGGAAGACTGACTGATTCCAAACAGAAGTGAATTGCAGTAATCAAGCCTAGATGTTATGAAGGCGTGGATCACTGTCTCGAGGTTCTTTTTGTTGAGTATAGGCTTCAGCTTAGACAGCCGTCTCAGCTGAAAAAAACAGGATTTGACCATCATGTTTACGTGACTGTTGAGTTTTAAGGACGGGTCCATTATCACCCCCAGATTAGTCACCTTTTGTTTCTCTAGCGGGGCTAGAGAGAAAAGGTCAATGTCATGGTTCATGAGTGAGCCACTGGGATGGAACAGCATGACTTCAGACTTCTTCTCATTGAAGCTTAAGAAGTTTAAAGCCATCCAGTCCCGGATGTCAGCCAGGCAGTCAAGAAGAGGCTGAATAGAGCGTGTGCCTCTGTGCCTCAGTGGGAAGTAAATTTGGCAATCATCGGCATAGAAATGAAAGGGTATGTCGTGTTTGCGGAAGATAGCACCTAGTGGCAGCAGGTATAAAGAAAAGAGAAGGGGACCGAGGATGGACCCCTGCGGTACCCCCCACTGGAGTGCGGTCGATGCCGAACTAAAATCTTTGATATTGACACAGAAGGTTCTGTCAGAGAGGTAGGACCCAAACCATTTAAGGGCTGACCCTGTGATGCCCACCCACTGCTCCAGTCTAGAAATGAGGATATTGTGGTCGATGGTGTCAAAAGCAGATGTAAGGTCCAATAGGACAAGCAGCACAGAATCACCTGCGTCTGTGGATATGAAAATGTCATTAAAAACCTTCAGTAGAGCAGTTTCAGTGCTATGGAGAGATTTGAAGCCAGATTGGAATAACTCAAGGATAGCGTGATCCCCCAAAAACTGTTTCAACTGAGACTCCACAATTTTTTCCAGTAGTTTAGAGGTGAATGGGAGTCTGGAGACAGGCCGGAAGTTGGACATGACTGAGGGGTCAAGGTTAGGTTTTTTCAGGAGGGGCTGGACAGCAGCATGTTTAAAAGTCTTTGGCACCACACCTGAGGATAAACTGCTATTCAGAATAGAGAGAATAAAAGGACCCAGGGTAGGAAAAACTTCCTTTAGTAGTCGAGGGGGGACCACATCAAAGGGGGAACCAGATGGCTTCATGCTGCACATTACCTGCTCCAGAGAGGACAGAGAGATGGGCTCAAAGTGGTCAAACACAGCCACACACTGAGATGGGATGGACAGATCATGAGCTGGTGGAGAAATGAGTGCCCGGGTGTTTGCCACTTTTTCTAAAAAGAAATGGAGGAAGTTCTCACACAGCTCAGTTGAGGCTTCCAGAGGTGAAGGCTCACTGAGGTGTAGAACTGAGTTCAGGGTGGAGAAGAGAACTCGGGGGTTGTGGGAGTTGGAGACAATTAAATCAGAAAAGAATTTACATTTGGCAGCTTTAACGGTTTTCTGACAGTGACGCCAACTCTCCCTTAACATTTGAAAAGACACCTGGAGCCTGTCCTTCCTCCACTTTCGTTCAGCTCTGCGACACTGCCGCCTAACGGCTCGCGTGACGTCATTCAGCCAAGGCTCTGATTTAAGTTTTGTTTTTCTGGTCTTAAGGGGAGCAACACGGTCCAGAACATTTAAACAGGCAGAGTTGAACTGAGAGGTTAGCTCCTCAGTAGTAAGAGACACCGAGAGCTGTTCAATCCTCTCAGAATTAAAACCTTCATTAAAACGAGCAGCAGTGAAATGGTTAATAGAACGCGTACGTGCAGGAACGCACGTCTTAGCAGTATGACAAGGGGGGGTGAAGTCAAACAATACAGGCATGTGATCTGAAAAAACATTGTCACCGATTTTCAAATTAGAAACAGAGACATCGCGTGTTAAAACGAGGTCCAGCGTGTGACCATGTTCTTGGGTGGGGCCGCTCACCTGCTGAGCTAAATTAAAAGAGTCCAATAAATCCAGAAAGTCCTTCACTAAGGGCTTCTCCTGACAACACACATGCAAATTAAAGTCACCAATAAGCAAAAAGTGAGTGTATCTCTGTGTGATATCAGCCAAAAAGTCAGAGAATTCATTTATGAAGTCCTTAGAACGAGGTGGGCGGTAGATGAGCGCGCACAGGACCGGAGGAGAGTGTCCAAGTTCAAAGGCGCTCAGCTCGAAGCTGGCGCGGGACACCGGGATGGACAACTGTTTACACGCAAAGTTTGCTTTAAAAACTGTTAATAATCCCCCCCGCGCCGACCTGATGGCCGCGGGGCATTGAAACATACACAGTCCGGAGGGAGTAGTTCCACCAGGGCGCTGGACTCACCATCAGAAATCCAAGAGAGACGGGCAGCCCTACACACCGGCGCCATCTTGGTTTTTTCAGATATGTTAACCCTTCCAAATTAGCAATTCTTTCGGACCAAGAAACGTAATAATAAGAAACGGAGCAACAGAGCAATTACATCCTCAAGGATGCCAGTATCTGTCCCAGATTATTAGGAAAGGAGGGGGTAGGGGAGACGTAGTGTCTCTGAGGACATTTGTCTTAAGGTTCTTGGAAGGATGGATGCTACATTCCCCCACTTGCGATTTACAACTTGGGTACCTTGTTGGTGAATCGCAACTTTTGCCCCTTTTGCACTGCCCCTAATCATCCCCATCTCTGCTCAGCCCTGCACACCCCTGCTCAGCCTGGCTCAGCTCAGCCTGGATTTGCACCTGCACTTTAGGACCGATTCTGGAGGCGTGTCCAGAATCCAAGTCCTGCTAATGAGAGTTCTACTATGAGTTACTCAAAGCAGTGTGCTCCTCAGATAAATATTATTAAATTATTATTTTTATATATGAATATTTCTGTTAACTTATTTTATATATGAATATTTCTGTTCAGTGCCCTGAGACGACTTCTGTTGTGACTTGGTGCTGTATAAATAAACTGAACTGAATTAAATCTGATGAACCAGATTCTACAAAAACATTTATATTTAAATCTAAAAAAGTTAGTCTGGTCCTCTGGACGTTCAAAAAACAAAATAAACAAACAAAAAAAGTAAAACTGTTTGTTCTTTCATTCGAAAGACTTCTTCAGTCTGAGGTG